AAAATATTTTGGTGTTAACTGGTTTCCTATAGCATTTCTAAAGAAAGCACAAAATAAACAATGGAAAGCGAAAGCTGTGAATGAGCAACTAACAATGCAAATACGTGACCACAAAATTTGTGCAACAGCATGAAAGTAACTCTTCATCTGATGTAGTTGTATATTAAAATGACTAAGGACCAAGCCCAAACCCACCAGATTAGGGAAGGAAATCATTATGATCTGAAACTTGGGATGGGAACAATTAGAATAACATGGACAAATATCTCTGAACCTCCCTTTCCTAGCAAAGGAAGCCCTCTCCAAACAAGAAAGCCTGTGTATTTTTTTTAAAAACTTTTAATGAATATACCAGGAACATTCATTTCTCTCACTACTCCTCATTGCCTCCAGATTGATATTAGGAATTAAATCCTCACCCTCACATGGTCTTGAAGAAAAAATATAAATATTTTACTCTGGAAGGGGATAATTTATACTTTGAGAGAGAATGATCAAAGAGTATAAACTAAAAGGCTGAACAGGAACAAATTTATTGAAATAGGTGGCTCATATGGTATTTTATATTTTGTGTTGAGTAAAAAAGCAGAAGTCATGTTAATATTCTACCAGGATGGCTTGTTGAAGTTGGATTTAGCAATAGCCTACTGTCAGTAAGGTCAAATACTGAAACTTCCCTGGCGTACTGTATGATTAAAAAAAAATGTTGGGTATCAGGAATATAGCAATATTGAGTGAATCTATTCTATGCAAATGGATGGATAACTACCCTTAACTCAATCTCCAGCGAGGGCTAGGAAGATACTTCCTATACCAAGACATTAAGAAATACTTTTGTGAAAGGCACACCAATAGCATCAAAAATCTCCAGGTATTTTGTATTTTGTAAAGATGACAGTAGCAGATAGTGCAGTGGAACTTGGTTCTCTGAAATCAATGGGAATAATGGCACCAGGAGTGGCACAGCCATGTGGCAGTGCTTAATTGAGACACAGTGGGTAAAATTACCTAATAATCACTTAAGTATATAGATATGATCAAAGTATATTGACCTATAATGGCTGTGGTAATAATTTCAGAGAGCCTAACAATAAAATATATGGGCATCATCCTAAAGACATTCTTGACATTTTAGATGTGATAGCAAGAACTTCACATGAGTTGCTGTGAATACAAAAGAACTACAGATAGAATCTATTATTTCTACAGATAGAATCTGGTATTTCCAAATACCAGAATTATGGTTGGAATAAAAATACTAGCACACATTGGTTCCCAAACCAATGTGGTAAGAGCTATTAAGATAAGGAAGGCTAAGAGGAAGGTCTTAGAACTGCTCCCAAGATGGTAATCATAAGTAATATGTCATCCCTTGGGAAACTGCACAGATTAGTGCCACCATCAAAGTCTAGTTGTAGAAGTATAGTTGTATCAGCATTTAACTTGTTTGCCTGATGCAAAAAACAAAAGATGGAGAATGTTATAAATGTCTTAACACAATAATTAAGAAAGTGTGGTGAAGGCTATGTTAACCAGTTTGATATAAGTATTTCAAATTGTATATAAATCCAGCACATTATATCCCATAAATTCATTAATGTACACAGCTATGATGTAATTTTTTTAAAAAGATGGAGAACGACAGTAAATTATTGCAAACTTAATTCAGTAGTGATGGCAATAACATTGGTGATTCACAAAATGATATCTTTACCACTATGTAAAGATAAAAGGTAAATCAGCACGGCCTTTTGCAACTGATGTGCAACAAATGGCCTAGAAATTCTCTTTTTTTATACATAAGCAGCAAAAACAATCCAGTACAAATAAGAACAAAGAACAGTCTGCCTTCAACAAGAGAGTAATGAAAGGAGATGAGTGTAACATTGCCATACCTTGCCTTATGGCTATGTCAACTGTCCCTGATGATAATATAGACCAGCAAGACCATTATTGGCTTTACAGCCCATAAAATATCACACCAATTCCATTATCTTGGCCACAGTGCACTTACTAGACTTGGTGTAGTCTATGTGTAGTCTACCAGCAAGTATCATAAATATTTTAGTAAAATAAGTATATGCTAGAGAATAGAAGATAAATTCTCCAACACTTCAGTAGGTAACCATACTGGCTAAGTTCCTGGAGATACAGTGGTCCAAGACATACTGGGGTATCCCTTCTAAAATCAGACAAGTTTATGTACTTTACTTAGCCCACTACAAAAAAGAGGAACTATGTTTTATGGCCATATGGTATTGGCAACATATGCCACGTTTGGACCTGCCACTCTGCATCATTTACCAGATATTGCACAAGCCACTCTTGGCTTAATACTTGCCCCAGTGAAGATTGAAAATCTGACAATAAGATATAAAGTGGCCTTGACTTAAATGTTTTGTCATAAAGTAGGTATTATTTCATCCACAAACTATAAAGTGGAATGCTCACAGTAACACTAAATAGAGCAGTTCTAGAAAGAACAAACAAACTGCACAAGCAATTTTCTCTGACTCCCATGGTATCAACGTGTTCCTTTTGCTGCCTCTCCCCAACTCAATGGTTTCTTTGTGACACTGATCAGACACTCATTGTTAAAAGAGGAGGAAAAAGCATGGACTTGGTCTATATGATTGGATTGGCAAGACACAATAGCAGCAGCCAGAAAATGGTTATTATAGCCTTATTGAAAATGCCAAGTGGGCATAAGTCCAGGCAGCACCTCTGGTTGTTCACTTTGCTAAAAGAGATGGCCTCAGGTACAGATTCACAGGCAGTTGATAATGAGAGGGTTGGTTGGCTGCTCAGAAATCTGGAAGGAATAAAATTTGTTGGTTACAAGAAATACTAAGGAAAAGATGCATGTATAAACCTCTCTGAATAAACAGACTGAAAATATTCATATCCTGTCCACTGTAGAGCCACAAAAATCAGGCAGGCAAAATTCACTCAAGTCAATGTTAGTCAGATTCAACCAATGAATTAAAGTGTTTGTGGCTGTAGAGGGAAGTTTTACATGAGCTCACAACCTCTTCTTACTGAAACTGACCTGGATTTCTACACACCCTGCCAAACGTGAGCACCCACCACAGCATACCTGGAATATGTGAGGATAGGTCTTCACCTCTTGAATAAATAAGTGATCCACTGCAGTTAACCTATAGGTTATTTTCTTTGCCCATGCAAATATTATGCCCACACCATAATTGTGTGCTTTCAGAATGGCTTCTAGACCACCACACTATCACTTCTGACCAGGGTCCCATCTTGTGGCACAGCATTTATGAAATTTTATTCATTACTACAAGATTTGCTTATTGCATGTCAATAACCAAGAAGCAGTTAGCTTAATAAAATAGTATTAAAGATTCAGTTGTGGCATCAACTTGGAGGCAATATCTTGAGAGATGAGAATGATATCATTAATCATTTTAAAAATACCCTAAGCTGTAGCCTAAACTTGATGCCATTTCCCCTAAAGTCATTAGGCATGAGTCTGAGATTAGAATGGGGTGATGATAGAAATGATTCCTCTCACTATCAAACAAAATAACCTAATTAATGGGTTTTTATTTTCTGTTTTGGGGGACCCTAAGTACAGTGCATTTGAATATCTGTGGGAAGAATGCTTTTGCCAGAGAATATAATCATAGTCCCATTAAATTGGAACCTTCCCATTGTAGGTTCTTTATGACACTGAACAGAGCAGACAAGGGGTCACTGTACAAGTAGATAAAAGTTTAAAATATTTTAAAAGCCTTTACAAAAAGAAGATACATCTCTATCAAACTGTTAATAGTGGTTATCTCCACCTAGGTGGAAAGATGCTAGATTATATGAATTTTCTTAAATATTGCTATAGGTACTTAACAAATGTGACATGATTTTTTTTTATTAAATCATAGCTGTGTACATTAATACAGTCATGGGGTACAGTGTGATATTTTTCTATATAATTTGAAAAGTTTTTATCAAACTGGTTAACATAGCCTTCATGTCATTTTCTTAGTTATTGTGTTAAGACATTTATATTCTACATTTAGAAAGATTCACATGTACCCTTATAAGATGAACCATAGGCGTGATCCCTCCATTAACATAAATTACTTTGTAATTTTTTAAAAGTACTTAAACTTTTTCTTAGTTAGTAAGATGGGCCAGGCACAGTGGCTAACACCTATAATCCTAGCACTCTAGGAGGCCAAGGCTGGTGGATCACTTGAGCCCAGGAGTTTGAAACCAGCCTGAGTAAAAGTGAGACCCTATCTCTACTAAAAATAGAAAAATTAGCCAGGTGCTGTGGCAGGTGCCTGTAGTACCAGCTACTTGGGAAGCTAGGCAGGAGAATCACTTGAACCTAAGAGTTTGAGGTTGCTGTGAATTATGCTGATGCCACAGCACTCTAGCTTATACAACAAAGTGAAACTGTCTTAAAAGAAAATTAGGAGGATGAAAAAAATCTCAAAGATCTATATTGCCATTCAAAGATGAATTTAATGTTACTAATGATTTTCATATATATAAAACACATTCATAAATAGTATAAGTAGTTAAATACACATAAAAGTTTCTTTTAAATGCTGTCAGAGATTTTAAACACTTTAAATGATTTTAATTATAGTTTTTGTTTGTTTTGTTTTGGAAGCTCTTTTATCCATGAACATATTTCCTCAACTTTATTTATAAACATATGACCTGTGGGGGCATAAATATTCATTACAAATAAGTTTTTCATGATGCACTATCCTATATATCAAAACAATGCCTATGTATTTATGAAAATTTTATTCACCATTTTACTCCCAAACATAGTGAATTGCAACAAGATACTTTTTCTACAAACTATTCTTCTTTCTCTGTACTTCAAAACTAATAGTAATGGAAAACAAAGGTAATTCCTAAGTGTAAACATAAATGTAAGCAATAAAATGCATACATACAAATTGGATGGTTTTTAAATGTGTACATTTTTTAAAAAAATAGATTAAATAATTACATACCAATGCAATTCCTGCAGAATAATGGGCAACACACATTTTCCCAGGAAATGTTGCTCCTGCATGATTTGGATAATCCCTATAACTAAATAAATAAGTATAAATTTATAATCAATTTTAATGAATAATTTAAATGTGAGCATTTCTGTTAATAATCTAAGTCTCTATCTCACAAAACCCTAGTTGAAGCAAATTGAGGTATAATCTTTCTATGTGTCCTTAATTCTTTCAAATTTGGAAGATATTTTAACTAATATTAACTGTTAGTTTTAATTGGTTAATTATTTTTGATTTCTGAAACATATCCAATGCATCCACATTTTGATTCTTTTATTTAAAGTTGCCAAAGGCTTTCATTCAATATTTGATCAAAAACAATTTGCTGAATTATAGTGACAAATATTATTAATGTTAAGGATTAAAATTTATCACTCCCATCTAGAAAAGTTCAGCATTTTCTCCTAAGAATAACTGTATCACTTCACAATGAAACATTATTTCAGCTTTAAGTAGTGGCCCATATAAATTAATATAATAATAGCACTATTCTTAGTGCTATTAATCCACTTAATTCTCAAAACTAGTGAAGAAGATATTATTAAAATTTTTATTCCCATTTTAAAAAATGAAACATCAGATGAAAAGTAAAGTAATTTTCTCAAGGTAGCATGAATAATAAGTGCTACTGAGGGATTTCAACTCAGGTATTCTCCACTAAGGAGAAAGGAGACAAGATGAAGGACAAGAAGCAGCTCTCACACATACTCTGGGAGGGCATGGAGAACTGCAAGTAGATGCTCTCCTATAGATTGGACCCTCTTACAGATAACACTGAAGATCATCAGAGAACTGATGGGAGAAACTCAGAATAAGGAAGACAGGGACAGGGAGCACCACTCACTAAGACTGGAAGGTACCTCAGGGAGACACTTACATGTGGGAAAGGGATAAAGGAGAGAGCCCAAGGGTCCCACACTACCCACATAAACACTCTCACTCCAGTTGTGGGAGGTCCTCCCTCCACCACTACAGGCCTCTGTGCTGTCTGGGGGAACTGTTTAGAGACTATATAGTAAAGTTACATTGGACAGCAATCTCAACAGGGACCTGCTGGTCTTAGTTTCCAGCTGACTGTAGCTGATGTCACTCTGTGTGCTCAAGTCTGAAGCTCCTGGTCTACACAGTGATTATCTTTGCTGTAGCTCCCCCACAGTGGCTCTTACCAACTTGAAAAAGGAGCAAGGAGAACAAATACACTTTCAAACCTATGACTGGGTGTTAGATGCCCTCCCCAACAGAGAACTTGAGTAGAACTCATGTTCTACTCAACATGAGTAGAGCATGAACCCATGGTCGCAGCCTCTATGGAATCTGTACACAGAGAGAGCCCCAGACATCCAGTGGCCAAGCTCTCATGGCCCTGTGTCACAACCAGTGCAAGCAAGCTCTGTAGCCCTGCTGTATCAAGGTCCATGCCTCCACAGTCCTGCACACCAAACAAAGGGACAAGTCCCTAACCCTGTACACATGTGAAGCTCCACACTTCCATGAACCTGAACTCTGAATGTGAGGCCATGATGCCCAGCCTGGTGCACCACAGCCCTGAAGTCTCGCACACCCTCCAGAGAGCCACATACCTGTTTAAACCCACACACAGTGAAGTAGGTCATTCCCCTTGTTTTCATGTGCTAGCCAGCCAGCAGGTCACATACCAGCAGGCCACACCCCTGCAGCCCTGAGCACCAAGCAGGATTACAAGTACCCTGACCTTGTGCACTGGCGAATGGACGATGCCCACACTGCACTGTGCTATGCAATGCCTGCAGTCTGCATCTCAACCCCAGACCCACTAACACAAGATGCTCATCACTGTTTATCACTAGTATACCTTGACATAGATGAAGCAAACACCTGCAGCCCTGATGTCTGTGCCCATCACATAAATAGCCTAACCAAACAGCCAATTTCACCACCATGGGGAGACTCAGGAAGAACAATATACTGCAATGATCATCTCAGTGGAGAGGAACTCACCCATTACCCTGTCTAAGCTTCCAACACCAGACATGGGGCCAATGTAAGAACCAAATGAATATCCTCCAGCATCTGCTCAGGTTGTAACAATCACAGAGGATTGTGACAACAAGGAGAACAGCTGTGTGACAGGTTCTCAGTGACCAATCCCTCTCCCACCAGGTAAATAATCAGGAATAAGACAAAAAAGCATTGTTAGGACCTCTCTTCCTTTACACAAAGTGGGAGACTTCCAGCAAAGGAGAACAGTTCCACTGCAAACCTATCAAACCTGACCTGAAAGAAGAGGTTTTGAATGACAATAAACAGGTAAAAAAAAATGTCTGATAATATGAAAAAAAAAGCTAATTGAATACTCCCAAAGGATCATAATAAATCCACAGCAATAAACTCCTAAAAAACTAAAATGATAAAATGTCAGAAATAAAATTCAGAATACTAATGGCAAATAAGATGAAAAAATTGAATAGTTAAACACAACAAAAAAGAAATCTAAAAATATTTAAAGATAACAATGAAGAAATTTAAATATCACTAAAGAGCTAACCAACATAAAAAAGGATACAATAGAACTTAAAGAAATTTCCTTTATAGTATTTCAAAATACAGCAGAAAGCTTAAACAACAGTCTAAACCAAGATGAAGAAAGAATCTCAGAGCTTAAAGACAAGCTCTTGAGCTGACTCAGTCATTCAAAGATGAGGAAAAGACAGTAAAGAACTGAAAAAAAAGTCAGAGAAATATAATTTTGCTTCATGTGAAGCAAAATAATACACAAATTTTAAGTATCCCTGAGGGAAAAAGAAAGGGCAGAAAATATATGGAAAATCTATTCTAGAAAACTATTGAGGAAAAATTCCTTGGTATCATGGGAAGTCCAGACATCTAGATACATGTACAAGATGGGTCTTCAAACACCAGGAGATCTAGCAAGCAAGATATGTCCAACACACACAGTCATCAACTTGGCCAAAGTCACATGAAAGAGAAAACTCTACAAGCAGCAGGAAGAAAACAACAACTAACATACAAAGAAAAAAAATCAGACTAAATGAAGAAATTTTGCAGAGACCTTACAAGCCAGAAGGAATTAAGAGCCATCTTCCAACTTCTTAAAAAGAATAACTATCATCCAAAAATCTTATATCCTACAAAATAAAATTTCATAAATGATGTATAAATACTGTTCTGGACAAGAAAATACTAAGGGGATTTGTCACTACTAGCCCTGCCCAACATGAAACACTCAGAACTGCATTATACATAGATCAGCACAATAGATACTCACCAGTGTAAAAGAAAAAAAAAAAGAGAAATAAAAAATATAATCTAAGCTTTATGATTGAAAAATAAAACAACTATTGATATAACTCATTTGATTACAGAGGTTATCATTTTATGAGCTGTTTAATTTGGTTTGCTTTGTTTTGTTGAAGATTTTTGGGATGGGGAGGGAGTAAGATGGACAACTGGAGCCAGCTTTCAACATAGGTTCCTGTCCAGAAGGAGAGATAAAGGGCACAATGTTCTTAAGAAAGCTGAAGGTCAGGAGCTGAGCCAAGAAAGATTGAGGAGTGTACATCATCCCTGCTGAGGCAAGCTGTGACACAAAGGAAACAAACTACAGGTACAAAACCTATTGCCAAGAGGATGAAAGACTCCCTCCCCAAAGAGAGGTGCTTGCTGTGTGCTCTCTACAAGCTACCAGTATTCAGAAGACTTCCAATTTTACCCCACAGAGAGAGCTACTAAATACCAGGACACCTTCTCCAGAGAGGTCCCACCTGTGAGCCCAGACATTATCTTTCTTGCCTGGCATAAAACTGAACAAATATTTTACCCACAGTTCTGAACTCTCAGTCCACCCCTCCCCCTCTCCTGGTGGTCTGAAAGCCTGTCCCCTGCATAGCCCAGAGTATCTGGCAATTCCTCAAGAGGTCTGGGCATGGTGGGCTGCTGCATGATTGTGCTGAAAACAGTGACTCAAGTGGTAGTTGGCAAAAGCAGACAGAGGGAGTTAAGCAGAGAGGGAGTAGCATGACCTGCAACAGCACATGGTGGCCATGGTGGCAGGACTTACTCCCCAGGTTAGATTTCAGAGAAACACTTCCCATTTCCCCTGACCACTGCAGGGAGCCAGACCTCAACCTTGCGGTTGCAGGTAATGACATGAATGGGACAGAGGCACAGACTCTGTGAGAGAGAAATAAGTGCTGCAGGGGTACCCACCCATTGACAGTGGTGATCACACCCTGGGATGAGATGATGGTGGTGCACTGAAGGGAACCAGGATCAGCTCTACAAGGCTTCCCTGGTGGCTGAGTCTCCCATGGGAGGAGGTACTGACTCCCCTTTGACTCTGGGCTGGCAAATATCCCTGGCAACTTTGTTCACTGAAAGGAACCAAGCCACAGCCCTGTGAAGTTATCAGTGGTGGGGCAAGGCTGCTGCGAAAGCATAAAAGGAGGCGCCAATCCACCTTGACTGATTCTTTGGCTGGGTGGGCCCCATGACCCCCATCGAGCACCAGAGGGAGCCAAACTCCAGACTCAGTTTCCGGACAGGAGCAGCCTATGGTTCCCTGTCATCAAGTTGCTGGATAATGTTTGAACTCTCTCAGTAGAGCAGTGATTGTGCTGCCTGAGATAACTGGTTTGGAATTTTTGATCTGGGCTATCTACCAAGGGACCCTCCAAGGTTGAGCCATGGTTATGCTGAAGTAGAAGGGACTGATTCTCCCCCTACAATTGTCACTGGAGTGGGGCAGGATGTATCAATTGTTTGTATCTCCCCCCAGATGAGATTTCAGCCTAATTCCCCAACTCAGTAGGATTGGATAGAGGCTGACTAAATATAAAACAGAACCAGCTAGCTATATCATACCAATCAGGTCCTCAGAGTCTCTGGTTGTAGATCTGAAAGGGATCTTTGTAAATCTGTAGAGGAAAAGCCACAATCACTAGTCCCAGCTCTCTGGTAAAGGGCTGGTTAACTACAATTCCTGGAACCTTCAATCCAATCTCACCCTATCAGTTTTAATACACAAACTGT